GACAGTTGAAAAGCAAACTGTTCCCTTATTTTGAATAAGATTCTTCCCCAAAATTTTGTAATTAGTGGAATTTTAGTAGCAAATCTTAACTTGCTTGCTATGCAGGGTCACAACTCCGTGGAATTTACTTGAACTACTATAAAGTGGGCCAGTCAAATTGCGATTTCGAAGCATAGCAGTTAGTTGCGAGGACGAGTCCCAATTCACACGTTTGTCACAGAAGAGATCCTACTCAGTTTGCGCACAAGATCGCTACTTCGATGCAACCATTGACGATGAAAACTTTTGATATGCACTAAATAAACCAACCTTTTGTGCACCTTTAACGATTGCGACGTAAAAAGGACCAACTTTCTTAAGCCATACCCGTTTGTAGGCCTAACATGGAACTTCTCGTGATGTGGATGAGGGCGGTAGATAAACAAAACCGCAGTCATAGCAACATGGGTTAATTACATTGCCCGCATTGAGTTGACTCATCAGTTGGTAGTCTACTGCTCTGAGAGCAATGCATCTCATCGCATACACACATTTTGATCGACATAAGCCCCACATCGAGGATTCTTCAAAGCGTTTAGTCACGACGGCCAAGGAAGCGGAATTTCGATTGGCTTGTTCTAGAATTTATGGATATACACTTTATTTCGCATTGCACCACTAACTCTCCATTGCAAATTCATGCCCTAGCTTACTTGCAGGAAATTAGGTGCATGAAATGCTGATAAGTGCAGAGGCACTTTCTAATAAAGCAAGTAGTTCTTGTCTGGGACGACCTGGAGTCTTCTTGGTAGTTGGGACAAGCCAAAGCAGTGTGATCGTACAGAAGAATTGTCGGATCATTACTGCACTTCGATGATCACCATGCTGAGTCGATACAATCAAGCGAAGAATCCACCTCCTTCTCTCCTCAGTGCCATCTTAGCACTTAGACACAATGCTCACATGAATGCTTATTTTGGCCACTTGGGAGACAGTGTTGGATGACTCTTCGAACTGCATTGGTTTCTAGGTTGAGGAAGACTGCCTAAGTACCAATGATCGCATACAGTACCGAAGCATCGAAATGCACACAGACAGTATCCCATAGACTACAAGAGAGATAAATTGACTTCCAAACGTCACATGTATGTCTAGCAATAATGACAACTTTCCAATTGGACATGTCTTGAGATGTAAAGTTGGAACCGTTTCTCCTGAATTTAATATTAAGAATCATCGAAACCCAACGGTGGCATTTATGCTATTGGCAGCTTCAACCACAAATTTAATAACACCATATAGACGGCTCACATGGGAGTTTATCGCTAGATTCCATGATTATCGCTGATGGGGTCGCTTCGAGGACCATCAAGCTGCTCAACCCGCCCATCAAATGTCTTGCTTTACCTACCTGACAACCTCCAAAATTGGTGAGACAGCCAAAACACAGCATATACAAATCGAAGAAGGGAACCGCAAAAAACGACTATTACGGATATACCACCCCCTCCAACTTTCCGCAAAATTGATAGGAAGGGAAGACCTAGTAGCATGGAAGAAATTTTATTGGTTTACTGTTCCTCTCCATAGCAATGGTAAACGCTCTGGGTGGTGATTTAGCCAATTGTTACGGAAAAAAAATGTATGTTGTTTTAAGCATGGTTATACAAACATTACAAAACATGCAATAGTGGTTTCGTGCTCAATAAAGTAGGGCCATTTACTTCTATCACCAATTATACGTTCACGCTGAATAAATTTTGCACTAATATCATCTTGCCCCACAGGCACCTAGGCGCAACACTAGTATCTAATATAAAGGGACGGACGCAGAGACGAGCGGGAATCAACGTTTAGGCAATGGAGAAAAATGGGAAACTATGACAATTTAATCTGAGCTGTTGAAGTCGCCTAATCAAGAGTGATAAAAGTGGATGGAAAAAGGAACAAAAGGAAGCAAATGATCATTAAGCCACCGTTTATTTTAACAAATCAAAAAGACAAAAGAGAGGGAGGAGAGTAGAGACTTAGGTAGGGGTGGGAATCAAAAGAGGGCAAATGTCGCTTGCATCACTAGGTCTCTGACGGGCTGAGCATCACTCCTCCTCGCGTAAAATTAGGTTAGGGTCTGCATTCAAGTATATACAAGCACGCACGCATACATGCAGTCACGCACCCACACACGCTAGGATGCACAATGAGAGAACGAGGCTCAGTCCATATCAGACTCGATTGCGAAAAAGGTAGATTTGTGGAAAGTGGATGATTTGAGAATCAAGGGGATGGTAAGCACAGTAAGGTGAGAAAACTTGGACGATGCAAATACGCTTAGGAGGGGGGGGGGGAAGAAGGGTAAGGTGAGTAACTGATAGATAAAATCACAGTTGCAGTTCTGTGGTAGAGGTCATATTGCACAGGGAGGGTGCGACGTGCAGACACCCGTCATGATTTGTCGCGTCGAGTGCGTCGTATAGGGCTCGGAGAAAGCACAAGACAAAGCCGACATAAAAAATGGCTAGAGTGAGACAATGTTTTCGTAAATAAACCCTACACAAATGAATGAGTTGATGAGGGGAGGCAAATAGTATGAATCTATGCCGGTGTTCTCGTCCTTTTCCCTTTTGTTTCGTTCGTAGAGGGAAGAAGGATGAACGAGTTAGTGGACTGGCGGGGGCTAAATCTTATAATGGAATGCCATCTTCTTTCTGTGTATGATGCAAAGGTTGAAGAGAACGCAGTCGAAAGGTAGTGTGAGCAAGAGGCCCCGCTGTCACCCATCGGATAAATGACCTAAGAGATAGACAATAATGATAAAAACAACTATCGCCCCAAAACAAAGCATACTTAACCTGAAGGTATGATTACTTCGTAGTCACACAGAATGTGGGACAAAAACACCTGCTGTAATAATCTTTTGAACAATTTATCTGCTGGTATGAAAAGTAATTTAGGACTTCGCGTTACCCAAGCATTATCACTTGCAAACTGATAATTGCAACAACCGAAAGTGAGAATTAAGAGCTCACGATTAGAATACAATGTAAGTGTGACACCATAGTCAGATTTTCAGTTTCGTCTCGAGGCGATAGCACTCAGGCTAGAGGAGAATCACTAAACCACGGTTCTTTCCCTTCATGCTAAGTGAATAAAATCAGGTGCAGAAGTGACTTACAAAAATGACGCTCTTACTGGTACGCATTCGAATAATACCGAAAAGGAGTCCGATATCAGCTACTTCGAAACCAAAGTTCCCTTAATATTGAAGAGGATAGAAATACGACAACTTTAGAGGAAACACAGCACTCCTTTGATATTCAACAACCCTATCTCCGAAATTGCACGTATTTTGAACATTCCTAGTCGCACAAAAACAATCGAGCTCCAACTAACAAACCGAGGAAAAATACGCTTCCGCTCAGAAAAGCTACTCCTCAGACAGCGAGGGGTTTAGGAGGAAATCAGGTGAAGGAGAGGAGGGGGAAGAGGAAGCGCCAGACGTCACGGGGGCGACAGCTTCATCCGCATGACTGTGATTGGCAGATAAGGGCGCTAGCTCTGGTCCACTGCCACAGTCAATGAATCGATCCTCCAAGGTAAAATCCTGTAGCAAGTAGGGTGTGGGCGTTACTGGCCGACGATCGGAAGGAATCGCCACCTATAACCGGAGCCCAGTTGATGTAAGCTAATCAGCAAGCTAAATCAGTGAGCATGTGGAGGAACAGACCTGTGAGTGGAGGATAAACTGAGAGGCTCCAATAGCGGCTTCAGAGCGCAGAGCTGTAAGCCCGCGGCGGGACTTACTACCGCCACCGCTACTGTTCACCATGGATAGTAGTGGATTGGCAGAGGGAACGTTAGTAGTAGTGATGGTAGCAGTTGAGGAGGAACTGGCTTCAGCCGTAGTATTGGTGGGCAGAATGGAAGGTACAATGGCTCCACTGGGTGCATCACCTGCCACTCCACTACTCGCTCCCAAGCCGGGCTCCGTATGACGACGGTTAACTTTTCGTCGTTTCCTCTTCTTCAACATTGTCGCCTTATGTTTAAAAACGCTTATGAGCTTCTCCCACAAGGCGGTAAGCCAACTACTCACAGTAATAGCATGATATTTCGCGATAAACTTGAGAGTGTCGTCGCCATTAGAGTGAAATTATCAAACTTAGAGCCTTTGAAAGTGTTTGCACATCACAAATGATCACCATCTCCGATAGCGCAGAAAATATCGTGGTTTTAAAATAAGACTAGAAGAAGGAAGCTTCGCTTGGTTCATGTAAAGCATCGCTCCTTTGAATGGAGATCTCATGGATCTTTTAACTTGTGCGAGGCAAGAGTAGTGCCTACACGACATACAAGACGATTCTGGATAAATTTTGGATGGTTTTAATTTCTTTCTTGGGTCAATTGCAAAGAAAAGAGCGTGAGATGACTGTAATCAATCGTTATAAAAAGCCAGATAAGAATCATAATGTTGTTGAAAACTTATTTGGAAATAATTAGTCTGCCTTCATGATATTATCTAGATTCATAGATCAGTCTCGAAAATATGCAAATGCGCAATAGGACCACTGCGATTACGGAACTTCAAACTCCTGCATACAGGTTAATATGCACCTCAGTGGTTTCAAACGTTGAACGCTATTTTATTTCTGGCCTATGCAAATTACACAAGATCACTTGGATTTCTAGAAATGGAAGTAATAACACAAGAACAGTCTTAAAGAGTCAAGGTGTTTAGATATATCTGTTCGAAAAACAGTAGAAGTCCAAAAGAAACACCCAAGACTAAGATTCCACAAGTGTCTTCTAAGTATAAGGTCGTATATTCAACGTAATCGAAAATAAACGTTCGTAATTTTTCTCCAAATGTGAACTCGACAGTAGTCTGGGTACTGATAGCAATGTGTAAGCATATAAGGATGCTGCTGATTAGTTTTTTTGCCCAAAATTACGAAAGATTAGTTTAACATGACGTGCCTCAATTAGGGCTAAATACTAATAAATAGTTTGAATTTCAAAATTATTCAGCTACCATCGCCCGTATCCACGAAACGCCAAAAAGTTGAGGTTATAGGGGAAAGACACAATGGTGAAGTTACCTTTAGGGCTGAGCGCAGAACAACAATTTGCCCCGGTGACTGAATCCACGGCTCACCATCCACTTGGACGGGAATATCCGATTTCAATGTGATTCTTATCTAAAAGATGCGAACGAACACGGCTAGGCACATTTGAAATGACAACAGAACGTAGTCATGTGAATCGCTGCACAATCCCGTTTGATTATAAAATCGCGCTACGTCATATCAATGAAGCGTAGCACAGAGAAACATGATCAGCTAAAAAGACGAGTTAGGAAGCTTAAGGATGCACGTATTCACTATATTAAGCGCAAAGGATAGCGACGCATTTCCGTTCGCAGTTATCATCGCAAAATACAAACCGGAACACGAAACATGTCTCTTTAAAACAAAATATCATGGCTCATGGGAGCTTACATGTCCCCCCTGAGCAAGACGCGTGCCTGTGCGAAGACCAGAGAAAATTTGACCCATATGAACGACCCCAGTGACGCCGACGACCTCGAGGAGGCCGTCATAGTGGGTGGGCTTGGCAAAGGCCTCATCCTTCTCCATGCCCCAAGGATTGGCGCCTGCGCCCCACGAAAGGATATTGAGGATGATTATGCCCTCTATGGGTGGCAAGTCTAACTGCCGACCGTCCACCTCGATGAGAACATTCTGATGCAAATCCTTGCATTTTGTCTGGTTGACCATCTTTCGCAGACCCATCTTGAAGTACACCGACTTGTTGTGGATTCTAGCCATCATGGAAATAAGTAAGTCACACATAATTATGATTGAGGGTTCTGGCAGATCACATACTTACTAAACATATGAAACAATTTCCTAAGAGAGTTAATTCAAAGCCCGCTGTTCTCAAGACTCCGTACGATTTTAACATGCCCAAAAAAGTATTTGCGTGAAAAGAGCAAATACTAAAATTGAGCCTTTATCCAGACTTTAAAGTGATCAGTCAGTTAGTAGGAATAAATACATGCCATTAAAAATGCTTCACCCCCAGTAACGAAAGCTGTTGAATCAGCAGCTGGATGCAAGAAGTTATATCCGACTCTCGCATTTTGGTTGACAAAAGTGCAGACTTTTAACTCATTCCTAAATTTCCATTTCTAATCAAATTTGCCACCGCAGGTGGGAAAAGCAAGCTATTTACCGAATTTATGCTTCTAGGTAATACAAGAAACAAGCAAAGCAGGCAATGAAGCATCTTTTACATGGAGGAGCCGGAAACCTTTGCCTGTGAGTTGGTGACATGAGGTAAAATTATTGACAGTGACAATGTCACACGTTCTTTTATGCTGCATTCCGATTAGCCGACCGGTGCCTTTTCCGGAAGAAAACAGTGATCCTGAAAACTAATTACCTTCGTCACGAGAAATATATCTCTAGGACGGCCATGTTAATTCGGAGGTCAAAGGAACTAGTGCCAGCCAAAAAAAGCCGTTTTAGAGTTACTTTACCTGACACTAAATCAAGATTTTTTTAAGTGATTATTTGATTAGACTCAAAGTGAAGTGAGCATTTGACCAAACGACCAAGTTTTTTATAGCAATTAGTCATAATTTCAAGAGGAACAAAGCAATACCCTGTTGAGCGTTATTGAAGCAAGTAATCCAAATATAAGTGGATTATTCCATTTCATACATAATCACCAATTCAATCCAACATAGATACGAAGAAGGTGGAAACAAAAATGAGCGACTTGTATCCCCCGTCCGAGAGGATATACGGATTGAGTTCGACTTTGAATATTCCCCGCATAAGACTGAAAACAGTGGGCCAAGAACCCAATGATGGGTGTTGCACGAAATCTATTCAAAATAATAAAATTGGGACGATTAACTTCGAACCCACTTTTGGTTCAAACCATACTTTTGATTCTCTATTTAAAAAGTACCAGTAAAGGATCGTTGGGTATGCAAGCCCCCAGTACAAAAGGATACCATTCAGAAGTGTAGAAAAATTGCAGCAACGCCAGCCACAGGTGCGTTCGAATCATCATCAGTGCGATGCTGCCTCAAAGAAGTGGATGTCGGGACTTTCACTTCCGGCGGAACCAATGTATTCCTTATTCAACCCTACTATTTATACAGGGAATCGACTTACTGACCTTAAACCGATTTTCTTTGCTTATTATTGGCGAGTTTTCCGAAATTGAAAACTCCAACTCAACTCCAAAGGTCTGTGATTCCCTAAATAGAAATCTACTGCAATATAAACTTTTGAAATAGAGACGCAGCCAAAAGATTAACCATCATTATAACTTATCAAAGGCAGAAAAATAATTCTTCTCGGCATTATGAGAGTGTCTCTGGATTTATAATCGTAAATTGCTTGACTTTACTGAATGATTTTCTTTCAACTGGTAATAAATCCAAGTGAAAACAGTGAGGTACCAACATGGAATCGCAAAGCGCACAGCAAAATTGCTCGTTGCAGAAAAATGAAAAGAAGCGCCCTCAACTAAGCGTTAGGTTCGAAAATCGAATTCCACATTTAAATAAACTCCGTCCTATTAAAAAATCAAGTGGCTCCTTGTAGTAGTAAATCTTAAAATTTCACGTGTTTTTAACTATAGCATTTGAGGTTACGGAGTATTGGAAACGCAATGTTAGCAGCAAAGTTGAGTAAAACTGCAAAAGCTATGTACTTATCAAAAGTTCCCAATCAAAGAATGCTAGACAAGTTTTGAGGGAGCGCAGAGGTGTTGATAGTCTCAGATTAGCAAATTTAAGCCTGATTAATTGGGTATGAAGATTTAACTAAAAATTCCAAAAAAGCCGCGACAGTGAAAGACAGCTTCCAATTCTTTTCACGAGTAACAAATAAGGCATGTTTCAGGTTTCTCTCAAAATAAAGAGATCAAAAGGGTAAAAATACTCATGAACATGCATTGAAAAAGTGGGCATATGACACTTTGGCTAAAATAACAGTCGCATTATGATACTAGGCAGTGGACCGCTTTGATTTAAGTGAACTAGATAAATTGCTACTGCGTACAAATGGAGAGCTCTGGACAAGAAAAACGCTAGGTTAGGTCCATTTGGCAGCAATCTTAATTATTCAAAGAGGAGGAAGTAGCAAGATACACGGGAACTAAGCAAATAAACAGAAGTACATAGAGACTAGGTTGCAAAATTAGTAAAAAGGAGCAGGAGAAATGATAGGGCAGAATTCACCTGGTCCAATCCAAGTTTTCCGACAAAAAATAAATATTTATTTTTAGGAATAGCACGTCGCACAACTTGCTTTATGGCATATCGGCAGCAATTTACTCATTTAAAACTTATTCACCTATCAACTTGCAGAGAACTCGGTTTACTCCAAAAAAAGAGTTAAGAAAACTTAGATGGATCAATTGACTAACAGAATGGTGAGTAAAAGCTTTTAATGGCAGCAGATTCGATATGAAATGCCCTATTGTTAAATGTCTAGTTATACTTTCGTACACTTTAGATGCACAGATACCAACAATTTCATCATCTTCTTGAAGTGCTTGTCTTGGGGGGAGTAGAAAGTCAGTTTATGCATCAATACACCCTATAGTTCCCTTTGACAGACTTGGGACATGAATTGGCACCTCATGAGCACACCTTTTCAGGAAGCTGACTTCAGTTCCCATGTGGGTTAAGAAATAAAAGTGGTAATTACTCAAGCGGCTCCCCTCAGTGATTAAAGATCTTATACTAAAGTTTTACGCATGGTTGGTTGACTGAAAACAGATGAGACTGCAATAAACTCAGATTTTTTAGTTTTCAATCTACCATAAATATGGAAATGGACCACATACTTTTCTAGCTCAACTTGATCAATGTACATAAAATTTCCAGTTCACTCTTCAAAGTAGTATGAAAAAGATTAATCAATATATATAGCTTCAAAGACGTCGAGCGAGTAAAATAATACGAGCATAAAGGATCCAGTAAGATGCAAATATTTGAGTGAAGCAGACCAATACAATACAGTTTATGAGAGATGAGAAACGAACCTGCTATTGAATTTAGCGGGATTCTCTTCTCGTGCCAAGTGAAAATCAAGATTGAGGTCAGCATCGATGCCGAGACCGAAATAGTTGTTCATCACAAAAATGCGGCTGGTGTCTTCATTGGTGTTGCAGGCGTTCGCCTCTATCTGTAGCTGCTTCTTCTGTGCGTCACTCTCAACTTGATCTGGCTTAATGACAACAGTCCAACGATCCAGACGTATTTCCTCTGCCTCCACTACGTCTCTGGGAGACAAAGAGGTCACTAATTCAAGAAGTTTACCTATTTGCAAGCCTTTGGTAGGCCTTCATACCCCATCTCGTGGTTTTGCTATTTCAATGACTTCACGCCAGTAAGCACGGAAGTAGATGCACAACCTCTTAGCATATCGACTGGCTATCATAATTGAAATGCTTGTTTGCGACAAAAGTTAATCAAAAACGTTGTGCTAAACATCTACTTACACAACCCCATTAGCAAGAGTCAAAATGACGGTGAAAAGCCTCATTTATTTACATAAAGGCAGAGAAGCAATCGCAATAAGAAGAAAGTTCTGCAAACAGATTTACCATAGACTTTGACGTGCAACTAAATCTTTTGTATAAAAATCAGCTTATTGGTACGGACCGGTGAAGGATTTCGCTACAAGATATTAACGAATCAACGAAGGCAGTCTTAAAAAGACGAACTGAAGAAGTAGAAATGACAATAGCATTCTCCATCCAGACGGCAAACTTAATTTCCAGCATAAAATATTGCTTTATTTGACAAACTCCTTCGAACCCATATTTGAAAAGTACAGGAGATGTACCTGACGCTTACTACTAAAGCAAACATTTAGCGTATTCATTATTAGCTTCAGTCCTAAGTGGAATGGGTGGTTTAAAATATAGCACTCCTGAAGTGTTTATCTTAGCCTGGTTGACAGGTTTCTTGATAGAAACATCTTATTTTTAATGCAGCTTCACAACACTGTTTCCACATTATTCGATAAGGTTAAGCTTAAACGTTATACTAGATCCTTACACAAATTACCCAGAGGAAAGAAACACGATGCTTCGATTTTGCAGCCGTAAAATTTAAATGTTTACTTATGAATTAAAAAGTGCAATGTTAAGATTAACGTCTGGAGACGAAAACATACAATAATAATTTCAATGCTCCATTCGAACACTTCCGGATTCAGCTTCTCTTCGATTAGCAAAGGAACAAAACAGTCAGTTCATTACAAATAGTATACAAATCAGCTATTTGACCACCAGATTTGGAAATACTACTGTTTTTCAGTGCTGTTGTCACCCACTCCTGACATCTTGGTGACCATATTATTTTAAGTGAAGCGAAGGGGCCCAAAAACCTGGCAAGAGTGATATTCCCCTAGCAATGAATTAGTGGTCTGAGTAATTCATGGACAAATCATCCTTCAAAAAAGGACTAACCGGAGGATCTGCAGAGGATC